AACTTGTTTTGGTATCTCGTCTGTGCCATAGATAAAACCAAGGTTGCTAATGCTATCTTGAATGATAACTTAGCATTTCATCCTTTCATCAAAATGTGGTCACTCCTAACTTTGAGAGATGAACATGCTATTGACCAAAATGCCAAAAATTAAAAATGCAGAGGCCATAAAACTGCTCTGGTCTGGTTCTGATTTTATTGCTCTAAAAGCTGTATTAACATTATAGTAAGAATGATCAGTTAATGATTTTATGAATTAATTGGCAGATCAAAGACTTTCCGAATTTCAAATGGGACATAATGAATGAACAAACAGGCTATGGATGTGCTGTCTGCATATGTAACAGTAGATCGTCACCGGGGACAGTGTCAAATACATGAGGAACAACTGTTAATGTGTGTTACTCCTGTTATTGTTGTTTTTCTTTTCCTTTTTTTCCCTCTTGTTCAATTTGTTGGTGGTCTTTTGGCCCCCTCTGTGGTCATAGTGATAGCGCTTCACACTGAGCTCTACTCTTGCTCTGTTTTCTTTAAAAGATGTCTTTTCAACCAGTCAGTGTTCTACCTACACACAGCATCACAGCTGTTGAAATACTCCCAGTTGGAATTTATTAGGTGCACACAAACGCGTCTCCCTTGTTGCATACCCATAATCCTTTACCCAGCCAAGACCTATGCAAATGGACAGGATCATAAATCCTTTATTAGGAGAATTTGCAAGTCAGAAATTTTATTAAATATGTACATTTTATGTAATATGAGATTTAGAGTTAACAAGTATGTAAAGTAATAGTTAGCACTCCTTAATGAACCAAAGGTCTGCACATTGTCAGGAATAATCTGAAGACTAAGCTCTAGCTAATTCTTTATAAATAAGGCTGCAAGTTTTTCAGTCGGTGCCGGAGCTCAGAATGACAGTATACTGTGCATGAAAGGTCTACATTGAAGGAGCCGTCTTATGTTGAATGCAAAATAGTCCTGTGCATATTTTGATGGGAAACTGTGCTGTCTCTTAGCCAAAGTCTGCGGTTGTTGGAAATCTCCAGTTCCAAAGAGAGACATATTTATTAGCCTCTTTAATTACTCTCTTGGCTGAAGTTTTTGTTTACTTTTAAGATTTGCATTGCTGAAAGAGCACACAAGAAGATGGATAGAAAAAGAGAATGTTTAATAAGTGCTGGCTGTGAAAGATTAAGTTGGAAATGTAGAATCACAACTACTGCTAGATTGTTACTTAAGCTTTCTAATCTTCTGTGATGAAAGTAGTATGTTTACCTAAAATAAAAAAACATTGTCAGCACATGGTGATTGACGTTGTCATTTTAATTTTAATTTGTAGTTTTAATTTCTTCAAAAAAAAAAATAAATGTCAAGACCATATTAACATCTTCAGATTTTTGTGGGAGGAGAATATGGTGACCTTGGAATACATTATATCTATGCTGAACGTGTTGCATTTTTGTGGGTGAGGTGCCTGTGACAGGGAGATGATTCATCTCATTTTATAGATCTTCTGTGTGTGATGTAATTCAAATGAAACCAACATAAAAGGATATATTAGAAATCACTTGGAGTGTGATGATGGGCTCCTTTCTCCATGACTATTTATTAGATTATCTTATATTGTAACAATGCTGTTGTGTCTAAGGCTTTTAAGTTCCACTTGTTTTGAAGTATTTCTTTATGGTATGATGTAATCCTGCTTTGACGCTTAGACCAGAGAACACTGAGGGTGCTTGGTAAAGTTTGTCCTTCTGCAGGTTTTGCTTTTGTGCTAATCAGTCAAAACACCAAACTGTACTTCCACTAAGCTGCTAAGCACTAATTTCAAAGCTTGTTGCATTGTTACAAAAGACTTTCCTTTGTGAGCAGTTGTTTTTATAAGCAAGTCAGTTTGATGAAAATGGTGTTTTGCAGTCTTTGCCTCGCTGTAGAGTAATTCAAGCGCTACTTGTGGCTGACAGATTAGTTCATAAGCAGCAGGGTGGCCTGTGCTGGCCTGTGATGTATGCGGTTGTAAGTGGTCTGTGTCTGAAATGAATGTGTGTGGCTGAGAAAATGATTACGTTTCAGTCCTCATGAGGGGGTTTGGGCCTAATTAACCTACTTCTTTATGACTGTTTCTTGTGCTCACTCACAGTTAGGGCAACTAAGCACACCCTTCTCTGACACCATCACACATACTGTTGTGTTTACTGTGGTCTAGTCTCCGTCCTCCAGAAAGAGATTGACTAGTAGAAGTTGGCTTGTTGTAATAGAAATATGATTGCTGTTCTGTATCTGTGAGACTAGCAGTACTCTTAACAGCTTCAGCTGAAGTCATTTCATCTTTGTGAGTGGCAATACTTCCAAGGAGAATATTGCCAAAACATTTAGAGATATGCAATGCTAAGACTGACTGCAAGGCAAATGCAGCTATACAGGATTTTGGAAATAACCTAATGAGCAAATTCAGATAGTCTTGTGTGGATTTTTCTCTGCTGGAAAAGAAGATTAACTGGTCCAAGACTAGGTTTGTGCATGGACAAAAGATCTAAACAAATCTGCAATTAAGTACCTCAGCTTTGTGCTACCATGGTACAAGGAAGTGTCTCCTCTTCTTTCCGAAACCATTAGAATTTTGTGTATAGCACAAAGGATAACAGAGTTCCAACATTTAAAGAGTGCTTATAAAATGTTACTTTAGGTAATGTAAAACTAAAATGTTTAGCAGTTATGTTATACTTTCAGATTTTAGGAAAAAAACTACCCGGGTTCCTTTCGTGTGTACATTTGACTTGTGCTTGATCTGAAAACTGCTGTTCACAAACACTGTCCATCCAATCTGACTGAGCTGGAGCTGTTTTGCAAAGAAGAATGGGCAAGAATTTCAGTCGCTAGATGTGCAAAGCTGGTAGAGACATACCCTAAAAGACTGGCAGCTGTAATTGCAGCAAAAGGTGGTTCTACAAAGTATTCACTCAGGGGGCTGAACAATTACGCACACCCCACTTTTCAGTTATTTATTTATAAAAAATGTTTGGAATCATGTATGATTTTCATTCCACTTCTCACGTGTACACCACTTTGTGTTGGTCTTTCATGTGGAATTCCAATAAAATTGATACATGTTTGTGGCTGTAATGTGACAAAATGTGGAAAAGTTCAAGGGGGCCGAATACTTTTGCAAGCCACTGTATATTGCCCTGTCACTGCCATTACACAATGCTGCTTGCACCTTGTTTCAGTAGATTCACACTTCAAATTAGGATCCGTGTTATCAAAGACAGTAATTTATTAGAAAAGAAGAATGGAAAATGCCCTTAATTTACTTGCCAAATGAAAAATGTGTGTTTCAGGATATGTGAGATCTTTGCTTTTTCTAAGCACAGTCTAGTTGGTCCTACTTAATTTAATTAGCTGGTTTTCTTCACTCTCTTCTCTTCTTCAGTGAAGCCTGGACTGCTCCACTTTAACTGGTGACCAGCTGTTTACGTCTGCCTAAATCAGAGATGAGTGCCAAATCTGTAATCAACAAGGAGGTGTTCATACCTCACGATGAGAAGATGCTTGCTGCTGTACAGGTGAAGCGGAGGACAAAGAAAAAGATCCCCTTCCTGGCCACCGGTGGTCAAGGAGATTACATGACGTTCATCTGCGTCTCAGGTCAGGACAAATTAAAAACCTCATTTTGTTTGCTTATGTTTAAATGCATTTTATGCTTTTTGCCTTTCTATTTGCGAGAGCGCACCAGTTGCGCCTTTGCAACCCACAGTCACATTTCCGCGTGTCTCCCATAATTCTTCCACTAATGTTCACACTGATGAGCATGTTTACGTTTTCCCCTGCCAACAGAATGACACACTAAATCAATTTGCTGCAGGGCTTCATGTCAATCTTTTTAAATAGATTAGATTTAAGCTGAAATTGATTAATTGCTTTACCAGAAATTCAGGTTTCAGTTGTTTCAGTTTGAGGTTTTTCTCCCTAATTGTTGGAACATTAGCTGATGTATTACTTGTTAATTGAATTACCCAGGCAAATTGTTCATGAGGAGAATATCTAGATCCTCCTTAATTCTGATGCCAGAAAAACTGCTTGTGAAAATCTGATACATTTTTCATTATTAATCTGTCTTGAACGCTGCTCTGGCAGCAGTAGATTACATGACCGAGGGTTATAGTTAACTTAAGGATGATTATGAGGAATTTAAAGTATAACCAAACAGCTCAAAGCCAGTAAAGCTCTGTCTATGTTGGATTCAAATTCAAGGTTGCCTTGCAGCAGGCAAGTTACTCAACAGTCAGCCTCTTTATTTACACCCTCAGATACATGTACATGAAAGGCAACTGTAGCGAGCGCAAGCCACAAATTTTCAGAGAGTGGACACTGTTTTTCTAAAGGGTTTACAATGAGTCATTTCGCCTTTCATGTGGAAATAAGTATTGCTTGATATTCACTTCTTGTAATGCCAGTCTCGTCACGTCCCTTGCAGCAGCGTTCACCTTTGTATCTCATTTGAGCTTGGCCACTGTGAAATATATTAAAATCACTGGATGTCCTAATTGCTTATTTTGCATGGCAGAAAAATGTGGTAATTATCCGATGTTGTAGCTTTTTGTTAAATTCAAAATTACTTTGTATCTGAAAAATCGGTATCTATGTTGTTCCTTTGCCTGACCTAACATCATGTGTTTTAATCTATGTCTTAATCCTCACTGACTTTGATACTCCTCGTGTCTGCTCTACTTGTTTCACAAGAGACATAGAGACATTTGATTTAGGTGGTGAACATCCGTGTGTGAGCATCAAAGCCCCTTGCTGACATGTTTTCTAACGACTCCACACCTACGATACTGTGTTGTTGTCTAAGAAAAAACATGCTTGGTGTCATTAGTTGGCTTCCACTTGAGTTGCTGGAATTGCTGCAGTTGTTTGTCCTTTCTGCTTGTTAAATAATTTTAAGCTTGACTGGATATCTCTCCTCATTATCTTTTTCTGCATTCATTTGTTGCCATCATTGTGTTGCTACTACTTTATCTAAGCCAAAAAATGCCCACTACTACACATTTTACAACAGTTGCAATCGGGGCAGTTGAGTAATTGGTCAATTCACTGACCATCATATCCATAGATGACGGGCACATAGTTAATTAAACAAAAAATACCTCCAAAATTTGATAACTGGATATTTTCTTTATTCATTAGCTGAGCATTATTCTCAGATTCTCAACTCTGTGTTCCAAACATAATCTTTACCCACATGGACCTCCTAAGTAATGGTAGTCAAAGTGTATTTGGTGACTTATTTTAGCATTTTTAAACATCCTCAAGTGATGAAGTGGACAGTCTGCCTGTTGTTATTGCAAAAGTTTGGTGGTTTTGCATGCACGTGTCCAGGACTGGGGGAAGAAAATACTTTGGATATATAAACCCAAGATTAATTTGTGCCACAGTGATTGCAATAGAAATCTGGGAAAAGAAAAGCATACCATATCATCTGTCAAACATGGCAGAGGCACACATACATGGTCATGTCTGGCTGCCAGTGGAAGTAGCATTATTGATGATGTGAAAACTGATAGAAGTAGCAGGATTAATTCAGTCCAAATGGGCCATCCAGGCATTTTGCAAAAGCAACCCAAGAGTTTCTCGAGGCAGCCAAGTGGAGCATGACTTTTAGTTACTGAAGACAAAACTGAATGCAGAGACCAACTGAAGATGGTTGCAGTAAAGACCTGGCAAGGCAATGTCTGTGGCGAAGGACTTTTACTCCCAATATTAAAACCAGTTCTTATACTTAAAGCTGCTAGTTTGTTAATTCAGAACTGAAATTGGGCTGCGTATAAAAATGGTTGCAAGTACAAAACACTCAATACAGTCATTTTGTTTAAACCTCTTGAATTACACCAGAAAGTATGCACTTCACTCTGGTTTGATTTGAAATGCACTGCAGAGATGTACTGAGATAAATATTTACAAAATCGGCCCTTATTCGACTGCCTTTGCCCCTAACTGTACTTTTATAGAGATTTTCTACAGTCACTGGCTCCAACCTTGGTCTAAGGATGGATAGGAATGCTGTTGTTGAGTATGAGTAAAAGGACTGTGAACTGTTGCATTCCCACTTCTTTTATTATTTTTTTGGTAGGTTTCTGCATTGGTTTACACAAAATTTATGTGGACATAAACGTTTCACATGCTGTCATCATTTTTTTGTATGTAGGAATGCATGTTGTACCAAAAGAAATCCAGAGAATACACTGTCTGAGAATTTTGCTATCACCACCATTGCACCCATTTATCTTTCCCTAGACACTCTGTCTGCATTAGTGGTCTCCTGACTTGGCTGATGTTTTGTATCACATGTGGGAACAGAAGTAGTGCCTTCACTACTTCTGTTTCCACAAGTCATGTGGCTTTTAAGCCAGCACAGCATTGTTCTAGATTTTATGTGCGTTTTCCTATGAATGTGCTGCACAATAACACCACAAGTTTGAAACTAGTCAGCTCATGGCTCCCAGGGCATTTTAAACAGAGGGCAGCTTGTGTTGCTTACGTGTTCAGGATGTGTGTAACTGTAAAAGTACTGTGTGTGTGCGCATAAGGGTGGGGGATGGTGCTCGTTGACAGTCTCATGGCGACAGTAGCATATACTTGAAGCCTGGGGGCCAAGCAGTGGCAGAGTTATGTAATCTGTGGGATGTCACGGCTAAAGGAAGCCTAAAGTACCAGAAGCTGTACTGTAGAGACAGCCACAAGAGATTCACTCTCAAACTGAAACAACAAAGGTAGCAGAATGAAACCACATGACTTCTGCACTTACTCCAGGATCATATGCTTTTGTGTTGTCAAAAGAGGAGTATCTGAATACGTGAACAATCAAGATGTTTTTGTAATAAATCACTGACCACTCAAGTCTTTGACTTGTGTGTTTGTTGAGCACATGGCTGTTTGTCTTAGGTAGAGAGCTACATTTATTAATGGAACAAAAAAGCCTGGACACCTCCCAATTGGTGAGCAGTGCCGCTTACTACAAATTAGATGCTGTTGCATGTTGCTGGAGGAAAAACGAAACTAGTTTAGCTCACTTAGCTGGCTGCTGTTTGACTTTAGAGTGAAAGCTTGTAAATTAATCTTATGTTAGCAAAGTAGACTGATAATAATCTTAAATTCCCTGTAGCAATAAACTGATTTCCACTAGAGGAGGGGTTTTTGCCCACAAGGTCTAGCAGAGAGCTCTCAAAAAACACTTGACTTTTTGGTGTGCATGATCATCTTCCTCTCCTAATTTGTTTGATGTAGTTCTCTGCATTTTTTTTTAGACTGTTTCAATCACAGTCTAGATTTAGTATGTGTATATACACAATGTAAAACTAAATCAGTGATATCTGTTATTCATATTACTGCCTATGCTAGTTGTTATTCAACTTAATGTGAGGTTGCATAATTTCTATTCTTTCTCACTATTTAATTTCCTAGCTCTTTCAAGCACTGTTGGGGTCAGTGCATTGTGATTGATCCCTGTTCACATGCCAAACCAGAGTGTCATCACAGTTTAAGTCACTGGTGGATCATTAACTTTCATAAGGGCCTGAAGGAGAACAAGGTGTGTTGTGGAAGGCTCCATCAATATGATGAACTCAGTTCTGCTCAATACTGATTTTTATCTCTTCATAAAATTCCACTTTTAATAGTAGATTGTATAATTAGGCCATGAATATATGCAGTGGGCATAGTAAAATGCCAACAATTTATAATGTAAGTTTTTGCAAAATTTAGACTTTTATCAGTACTGTGGGCATTTTGCTTGTAGTCCAATTGCTTCATCTTCAGTTTTTCAGTTCCTCTTTTCTTGTTCAGAGAGAAAAATGTTAAAACCCAAACAAGTGCACAAAAGTCTGGGTCAAAGTCTGTGTGGAAAATCCAAAAGACAGTGGAGAGGTGATTGTCATTGAGAATGGATCTGTAACTGGATTTGTTAAACTGTGGATATTTGTTCTCGTAGAACGGTGGATCCAAAGAGAACCAACATCTTCACTGTTGGCATGCGAGTAAGAATGTTGCTCTCAGGCTGGCTTGAAAGAAACTGCATTTCATCTGCAGATGGGCCTTTGTCCTGCAGTTTGGTATTTAGTTCATTAGTGCAGTCACATCAACAGCAAATGCATCTGAGGGCTCTAGAGTGTTCTTGCATTTCTTCTCACAAAACTCTTAAGTATATATGCTTTTGAGTCCCATATTCTTTTTAACAGTTTGCCCAGGCTGAGCCACCTGACAGCTGTGTGGTAGCCTCTGTCACAACGTTTAGTCTCGTGCTCCTCCGAAACTGCGAACAGACGATCTGTGATTCAGCGCTCTTGCCTTGACCAAGTTAACTATTCATTAACAACATGGTTAATTTTTAGCACTGATTTAGATCACTTGGAGTATAATACAGTGTAAAAATACCAGTTTCTGGGTTCGTTTCGGTCTTTTCATCTTGCATCTGATTCAAAAGTCCAACATTTGGACAACCATCGGGTAAAACGCCCACGAGTGTGTCCCATTTCAGCCCAAGCGCATCAAAGCATGCACTTACCTTCGTGAACAAATCACTCCCTGTCGTAGTCCCTTTCACTGAGTGCATTGCTGTCAGCGCCTCCATAATCTCAAACTCTTTCATT